TTTTGATGCAAAAACGCATGATCGCACCGGCTCGCCTGGTGCGTTCCAGCCTTTGTGTGTTTTTGCACATACGCAAATGCGCTTTTTGTCACCTATTTTCAACTCGAGAATCAGAAAAGCTAGAAGGCTAAAACTTCGGCAGCATGTGTCTATACCACATGCAACCCCCCTCCCCCCTACTTCCCCGCGTTTTATTATCATTATATGAGTAACCTGAGTGTAGTATACGAAGGCTTTAAAAAAATATGGTAGTTTTTTGACGGAAGAACTGTCTCTGGAACCAGACAAGATGGAAAGCAAAAACTTTACATGAATATTCTCTGTGCACGTTTCAAATTCATCCTCTAGGTATTCGTTGTTCTCATGCGTGAACACGCAAGAAATTTGGCGGGAAATTTGTTAGCTCAGAAATCAGAAAAGCTGGAAAACCAAATTTTAAGAGAATATCCGCTGCTCAAATACAACTTAAAGATTTCCAATTCAGTCTTCCAGGCATGCTTGGTTCTCGTGGACGGATAATTAAATTTTTGGCAGAAAAATGACTCACTGAAGAGCGAAGTCATTTTTCAGAGACTGACTGTTAAAAGAAATTGTTTATTTTCTTTATGCAAAATTTACGATGGTTTATGCTAGTGAATGCAAAAGGTAGTGTAAAGCAACAATCATTCATGCAGTTAACAACCTGAATACTTCAAGTTTGATGCCAAAACGCGTGATCGCACCGGCAAGCCTGATGCATTTCGGCCTGTGCTATATACAAAACTAGCTTTCATAAAGGCTGTAAAGGAAAATCGTCTCTCGACTTCCCAAAGTATACTGTCTTATCATATATGAGTGCCAGGAAATTACAGATTCAGCGGTAGAACAGTTGCAATATTTGTTTATGTTTACATCTGGAATAATTTCCGATTAATTGAGAATCCGTGGAATTCGCCATGGACCTGGATATTTTGCTTGTTTTTCCAGGATTTCATGTATTATCTTGGACATCGTGCAGTCCACGGTATATTTTTACTGCCCTGTTCGACAAACAGCTTAAGAAATGTACTGGTTGAATTCTTCCCAGTGCATTTGTTGGTTATCTCATGCCTAGTGTGCCTAGCAATTTTCTTAGTTGAAAGGCCCAATCAAATTTTTTTTTCAGCATTTTTTTAATTCTTCGGCAAATTCAGTGAGAAATCGAGAATTTGAAAATCAAAAATGCCAAAATGCCTTCATAATTCACTTTCTATGAGAAGCAGAAGCAATTGGGATTCCCTCTACGATTTGTTCATTAATTCTTTGGTTGGTTTAGATTGACAACAGCTCACTTTAAAAAATAAGTTGACAGCAGTTTTCTGGCATAGGCCAACATCAATTTGCTATCGAAACGAATGAATGAATAGAGGGAATGCTCACCCCAACTGACAAAGCCGAACGATAATTTCCTGTCCATTTGGCGCTGTGCCATATAAAATAGATGATGTTAAAATTTGTTAAAAAATTATTATAAATATTACTAGTTTAGAAGTGAATGAAAAATTTGTGCTTCGCCTTTGACGTGTTTTCTGAAGGTAGCTTTGTTCCACTCTCTGCCCAGGTCATGCTAGCAAATTGTGCTCTGCGATATGAATAGCCTGAATTTTTGCAGAAGCTGGATTTTTTTGGGGCTTGCATACGATACACCACAGTTCCGAATATTATAATTATACAACAGCACTACGACAGGCAGCTATACAAGGTTAAAATTTTTTTTGCTTTGATTTTTTCAAAACAATTTGAGCAAATTTCCTAAGCGTTTGACGTAGCTGCAAATTTTTTTTAGTCTGAATTTCGCCTGTTTTTTCTAAAGATTCTTGACTTTAAAAGTACTCAGGTTTCAATCGATTTTCGAGTTCCGTCCAATTCACAGATAGGACTTTTTTTAGAAAGTTATATTTCTGTCAAAAGTACTTCAGAATTGGTATGTCTCTCTGAGACCAAGTATAAACAGTCAGACTCTCCATCAAACAAAAGCCGCGCAGAACTTTACTGCGATTAGGCGTAATAAAATCCTATGCGCAGCGCATGTTGCTTGCTCAGTTAATAGTCAGTGGACACTACGTAATAATGAATGGTACCGACAAGAATATACATTAAACGTGCGGTGAAAAATATGCAACCCAGGACTGAAGGGTCTGGTATAGCCGAGCTTGGCCTGTGGAAGTGCCCAGTAAAATCACTAACAGGGGATCCACACTGATAGTCCGAGCGATCTTGATATTCGTGGTATTTCAAAATCACTTAAAATTAAATTTTGCACTTTAGATGTGGGTCTTGCCATCTATGATGTGCTGCAGGCGTTCTTCATTCCGCCATCAATCTTCCTTGTTCATCGATATTTCAGCGAGATTTATCAGTTCACATTACACACCTCTGTATGAAAATCTTACCAATTTTTCGGTTTTTTCTCCTGTTTTCGTTGATTTATGCTTTTCTACTGCCCATTTCTAGGAGTAACGGCAATTTTCAGTATGGGATACTAGGGATCACTGGGGCTCAGCTTTTTTACCTGACCCATCAGTGTTTTGTTCAGTGATTTTAAAACGGCTTTTTTTGACATTACCATATATTTCAAAGTACCTAGACAACCAAGACTTTGCCCAGTAATTTTAAAAATGTCCTTTTTGGTACTACCGTACATTGCAAAGTTTGATAAAAACACCATTTCGGGGCTTTTTCATTGTTGTTCAAAGCGAAACAATAGCGGAGTGACCATCAGGAGATGGAGGATCGGTCAAAGTGATTGGAAAAGTTGCCAGCTTCAGAATCAGATCATGAATTCCAGCTGATTGAAGGGTTTTATTTTGAGTACAAATCACTAGAAGTGACCGAAACACTGGAATTTGGTTTTGCAGTTATTCGATACCTACGGCCCATTGGGGATTGTCCTGAATACACCATCGCATCATCGCGTTCATCATGGCCGTAATCCGTACTGCATTGATCGGAATTACGCAGCGGTCTTCATTATCTGGGATAAAATGTTCGGCACATTTGAGCCGGAGCGCAAAGATGAAAAACCGGTGTATGGGATTATTGAACGTGAGAAAACATTCAATCAGCTTTACTTACAGGTTACTTCTAGACCGCTGATTTTGTTAACTAAAAGTGACACTATTTGAATGATAAAAATACTAATCAGTTAACTAGAAATTCCGAGAATACGAAGGCAATCGGTGTAGGTATCCCGTGTTAGTGATGTTATTTAGAATGCAGCTACGCCAGGCTTTTCGAAAAAAATTGAAAACGATCCTTGGAAACCAGGAAACAGTTAATTTAAATTTGGTCGAAAAATAATTTAACTTGTTAGTTTGATCAATTTTTACTACATCACTGCTTATTTTCGCATCACTGATACAACTGAAAGCTTCTTCAGTCTAATCTTTTCCGAAATTGCTACATTCACATGGTCGTACACGAGGCCCAGAAACGCGTGAGGGTTGGTATCGCGGTTCTGTGGTGACACTTGGCTGAGGAACCGCTGGCAAAATATTTGGCGTCGTAATTTACTTGGTTACCCGGACAGATGCACTTCACAAATAGACATTCAAGCAGATTAAAATAATATTAAAATAAATGAGCAAAAGTAAACAAAGTTAGATTGGTAACAATAATGATAATAACAATGAAGAAATTCATGATAATAGTA